CGCGGGGCTCCCCAAGCGCCTGGAGGCCTCTAGCGCTCGGGGGCATTACGTGACCTGGGGAGAGGAGAGGGAGCCGTCCCGGCGCCAGCGCGTGCTGGCCTGAGGGCGACGGTGCCAAGCCGCCGGCTGGTTGCCAGCGTGCCAGGAGCTCTTGCACGGCTTGGCTGAAGGCTGGGGACGGCGTGCCCACTGATGAAACTGCTCTGCGAGGCGGGACAAAGGGGAACCTAACAACGAGGAGGGTCCTCAGCCAAGGCCCAGGGCTCCAGCTCCAGTTTCTGACAGCGCGCTGCGGCTTTCCGTGCGGTATAAATGCTTCTGTGAGGCAGAAGGGAAACAACTCGTGTCTACGAACAACGGTTCTGGTTAATACGTGCTCCACTGTGGAACCATTTTCTGCCTTTCTCGCTGCTGAAAACGCTTTGGTTCCCATTGCGGGGCGTTTCCCGCACGAGGATGGGGAGAAGCACATCTGCATGCGTGTTAGGAAGGGTCTTTACGCTCAGTTTAGAGCTGATGGTACTAGGTCGGCAATTGTTTTAGGGCACTGGCAGCTGCAGCTATGTATTTCTTTTGTGTGGTGTTTCAATAATATACACATTTATGTGTTCAATGTTCTTGCTAGACCCTCAGTAGCAGAACTTGATTCAGGTGGATTGGGGTTATAACGTGCAGCTTATGGATAATATTTAACTGGGCTTAGTACACATAAATGAAAGTCAACATAACGCAAGCCCTACGCTTCCAGGCAAAGTGCTAGCACCAGACACCAATCAGGCGCCTTCTTCCTCAAGCAATTGTAGTTTTTCCCCTCTTTACAGTTGGCTACAAGCATTCATCTTTCAGGCAAACGTGCAGAAAGTGCTTTTTTTTCTCCTCCTGCTACGGTCGACTTTTTGTTAAAGGAAGCATTTGTGAAGATACACCAGAAGAATCACTGCAGAGAGTTCAAATGATTAGCGGCAAAACAGAGGTGTGGTAGGACTGCTGATCCCAGTATACGCCAAGGCAAGGCAAGGCAAGGCAAGGAATGAAGGCATCAACAGAAATGGAAATTGATCAGCATTAGAAAAACATCCTGAATCTCATAACCTGCATAATTTACAATGATATTTTATCAGATATACTCATTTGAGTCAGGACATAGAGTGCTTATATGGTTCTAGCCATAAAACTTGTAAAGGATTTTTTTGTGTGTGTGTGGTTTTATCATGGTCTGCCTTTCACATTCTCCATGTTCCTGTCCTACATCTTAGTAAAATCAAACCTTAATTAATTGCTGCTCTTTTTTTAGGAAAGGCTTGTTGACTCAGATAACCAAATTTAGGTGGCTTACTGTCTAGGAGTACAGTCACTACCAAGTCAGTAAGGTACAAACACATAAATTATGTATTCCAATGTAGTAGTAGGAGCAATGGCTGCCGGAAATTCATGAGCTGGATCAAGTCCAAGACATGGTTGATCTCGTGAAGCCTGTACAAATTAAACCTTAAACTGAAAACCTCTGCAGTTTTCAATTGGATCAACTCCTATTGCAAACAGTAGGACAAGAAAAGCTGGCAAGGAGGCAAGAGATGCCTGTCTCTTTTTTTTGGTGACAGAGTAGCCGTAATTTGACTGTAAAACCACAGCCTGAAAGCGCCAGGGAAACTATTTGGTATGAATAGGATGTACTCTCAAGATGTCAGAAAAGTATAATGCTTGCAGGGGATTTGTGCCTTTTCTGCTAACCATAGGAAACTCAAGCGCCTGCTGTAAGCAGTAAGCAATGCTGGGGGACCCTTCTGTCAGTTAGTCGGACTAGTTTTGCCTGAATTTGGCTTTTTTTTTCCCTGTTAATGCTGAACTAAGGTGTGAGGAAGTGCCACGAGACGCATACAGACCTGCAAAATCCCTCTGAATAGCTGGCTCTTCCTTTGCTCCTTGCACTTCTCTTTCTCCAGAAGAGGTCTCCAGACAAGAAAGTCTTGTCCATGGTCCTTCAAAACCTGGAAACAGAGAGCAATGACCAGGTGTAAATGCAACTTTTTCTCTGGGCGTTTGTGTGTGTGCGCGCGCGCGCGCGTGTGTGTGTGTGTGTGTGTGTGTGCAGCCAGAGCAGACTAAACCAACACCGTATTTTCAAAGCAAGGTCGTACACGGCATAGGAGTTACCTTTGAAACAAGGCAATGCAATAAGCACAGCTGTAGTACGAACGGACAATCTGACCCCCCGGGGGGGGGGGGCCCTAGGCATTATGTATCAGTCCTTGCGGTAGAACGAACGGACAATCTGCCCCCCCGGGGGGGGGGGGCCCTAGGCATTATGTATCAGTCCGATTATGTATTAGGCCGATTTTTCTGATGGCTCAGTTCTAGCCCTCCTCCTTTCACTACTGTCACCCTCATTAAGCAGAACTTCTGTGCTGAAGGCTCAGGGCTGCGGGAAGACAATCATCACTGCAAATGCCCGCACAAAATTCAGGAGCGGCTTAAATTCAGCTCGAGGCACAACAGAATATCTTGGACTCTTCCAAAATATGGGCACCTCCCTTACTGCTCATGAGCTTCCTCTTCAATGTGGGCGATACTGTGTGGCGAACTCTCCCTGGGTAGCCCATGCCTCGGGTTCTTGCCTCGGGTTCAGCCGCCCTCCCTCTTGTTACAGAAGGAACTATAATGCTTTCACATAGCAAACAGATGCTTTTACAGAGGGTGCAGAACTGAAAACCCTGCAGGAGGAAACTTAACATCGAAAACGATGCTAAGGTGGCTTTTGTCTGAAACAACAGACAGCCTGACACATGGCTCTTTGGGGAGCTCAACCTAGCCTGTGTCCTTGCAGCTCTGCCTTTCTCCCGGATTTGTCGCATCTTCTGTCCGTTTTGTATTCCTCCCCAGCCTGCCTTGCCCAAGACATTGCATGTACGCTGAAGGGGTAGTTTTTCCTCTCCATCCTCCTGAATGCGATTTGCATGCATAGCTCCAGGACGGAGTTTCAGGAAATCAACATTAACTAAGGTGCTACATCTTTGCCACCTACCTTCTCAAAGACTGGGAAGTATCTGTTTGTGGCCTTGTCCACAGTATTAGCGAGATATTGCTCCTTTTTATCAGCTGGTTGGAAAGCATAGTGCATGAGTAACTCATCCAGATCTGTTAATGCTTCCACATACATATCGATTCTGGAAGAAAAAGTTTGATTTGGTCAATTCACAGAAGGTCCAAACAGCACAAGAGGCACTGACATAGCCCCGACTGAAATGTTCGGAACATCTCTTCTCTCCAGTGTGCGTAGCGTGGAGCAGCTTCCCCCGCCAAGTGCAGTAGCATCTGTGTTGGGAGGAGACAAAAGACAAGTGCAATATGCCTAACCAAAACTAAAGTGCTACACCCCTCCCGTTTTTTTTCCACTAGTGGTGATACTCCTCCAGAGTAAGTTTTTCAAGCAGCTGTGCCAGCAAAGTGGCATGTATGTCAGCCAAACCCATGTTACAAAGCAAATCAGAGGTCAAAGAGTGGCTCTATGCGATTCCTGTTGAACAGCCTGGAATGTGTTTACTTGCGCTAATTAGCTTGAAGCATGTCAGGATATTTACGTATTCAGGCCAACGCCATGTGTCTTGAGAGCCCTATCCTTTAATACCTAGTTCCTGGAAACAGAGGAGTTGTCTGTTTCCATCAAAGATAGTTCTCTGAATTTGAGCTGGGGAAAACGCGTGCTGCTGCTGACTCCAGGGGACAGTGAATGAAGCGCGACATCAGAACGGAAGACTGTCCTCCGTACTCCTGACTGCTTTCTTCTGACCGCTACGTAGAGCTTTGATCTTCACACAGGTCCTTGCACCCTCCTGCCTGTCTAGTCTAGTTGGTTAATCCTGTTGTAGACATCACCTGCTGGCAAGGTACCATACATGCTACCTGAAAAATCTGCTGAATCACCCTGACTCTAATAGTAAGCTGGACTATTCTTCTTGTATTGCACGGCAAGGTTGTGTGCATTGGAGCCTGTCAAACAAAGGTAGTACTGTTACGGTACAGGGCTCTCTCCTTCAGGTCCTTCCCATAGAGGTTGTACTTTGCTGCTATATAGCTGCCAATAGCTCGAGTCTGCACCAGCTTCATCCCATCAATCTCCACCATGGGCACTTGCTGAAACAGCAGGGCTCCACCTAGAGTAAAAGGGACACGATAAAGAGACATTCAGCCCCTGAATGAGTACCATCAGTGGGTATTTGGCAGAGTGTCTAACGATCCCTGTTGGTTTGAGACAGCCTTCCTCACTCTCATATTAGGGCATGGCAAAAGCTTACCATAAAATGAAGAACCGTGTCTTGGTGAGACGTTAATCTAATGCTATAGCAGTCAGCTTCTCAAAGTTTCTTCCGAGCTGATGAAGCACCCAGATGCAGAACTTTTAGGAATCAGGACAAGTCCCTGCACTGCCTGGTCCTAACTCAGATGACTGTCCACTGAGGTTGACACAGATGGGAAGGACTGAAGGACCTGGCCCAGCTGACCCGTCACAAGCCAGTTTCTCTCATGCTGTATATTATGGCAATAGGGACTACTTAAAAGCTTGCCAACATGCATGCCAGCATAAATGCTTATACTTATCTTTGTGACTACTATACTGACTAGAACTGATCGGAGAAGCGAGTCAGAGCAATTGCTTTGTGGGATCACATTTATTGTCTGAAATAACTGATCAGTTATGTCCATCTTTGGATCCACTGGAAGGCAAGCGTGCATAGAAGCTGTTTGCTATTCAGGGCATGTTTTTATTAGTATGCTCCCGTCTTCAGATACTGCTGTGCTTCTTGAGAAGCAGGAGATACTGCAGGTGGTAGGAGGATCAACTCATTCTTCTAAAAGGAGAGCAGGACCAGCAAATGCCAACCTAAGCTCTGACTTCCTGGGTTAGCCAAGGTGAACTGGAAGAGCACAGACATGTAACTTGGTTTGGAGGAAAAGGAAATCTCCAGCCCACGGAGATGGAAGCTAAAGAGCAGCCAAGTGAGCTGTTGCCTTGGGAAACCAGGAGCACAGCAGAGGTACCGGTTAAACTCCAAACTCTGAAGCTGGTTTCATACGGACTATAAAACAACAGCTTTGTAGGCAACGTAAAATGCTAATGAATTTCAAGAGGAGCTGACCCCAAGACACTGTGCTGTCATAAGACTGAAGCGACTGGGTGGATGGTATCATCTCCCGCAGCGTGTTCTTGCTGCAGTGTGCATCTGCGATAGCTCAGGGACAAGCCAATCTAGATTTTCTTCTTAAGAGACATAAGACTTCTTAGCTGTTCTAAGACAAGCAGTTCTAATTAGTAAAAAGTGAAGGAAACTTACTCTCCTGTAACTTTAGCAGGTCATCCCTTGTTTCCAGAAAACATTCGTCAAACTGCAGGAAACAGAGAAGAAAAGTCACGTCGTCACGGCCTGTTCTTGCTTCTGCATTGCATGAGACAACCAGGGACCAGAGGGTTCTGCTTTGGGGAAATTTCTCTTGAAAAGATGAACCAGATGGTATCTTTGAAAGTGGCATCTTTCAAAGATTATTTTGCCTCTGTCACATCGTCTCCTCTTCCCCCTCCCCTGCGATTCATGTTTGTGCGCGGGTAAGCTTTTGGCTAAAGCAGAGGTTTCCAGAAGGCACAGAGCACTGTCTTCCGGGCAAAGTAGGACCGACCGTGCTGCTCCTGTTGTGAGGGCTGGGGAGGAATGGAGCAAGAGATGGTGCAGGGAGAAGGGAGGACAGGTAAATTCAGACGGCGGCAGCAGGACTGTGCTAGAGCTGCTTTGCCACGAGCTGGGAAGAGGGGAGAGGAAGAGAAAGGCTCGCGTGTCCTCCGCAACTTTCTGGCTCATTGCCTGTCACCATGACAACAGCTCACAGCGCTTAAACGCACAGTTCCCCAAGCTGTCTCCCTCTGCCGCTTTAATATCAGAAATGGTTGGAGTTGAGAAGAGTTACTGGTTGTTTTAAATAAGGCAGTACCTTCCAGGGGAAGTTACATTTTAATAGGCAGACTATAAACACTAGTCTGGCCTCTAGCTAAACCCCAATGTCCATCGGGGCTGAAAGTGCTGAACCCCTATGATCAGAAGATAAAAGCCAGGGTCTACCACTGTGGTTATAAAAAAGGCATTTGTCTAGCTACAGGGAGGTGCATTCATTATGCTAATAGTAGGCTTGGAACGTGATGGTTAGAAGTGAGATAGGAACCTGCCTTGCTACTTGGGGTAAGCTAGTGGTGACGTTAACTGTTTTTAATGGTGAGTGGGGTAGTAATAGGCAGTAACATGGTCCCACAAGACTCACAACTAGCAATGCTGACTTGGTCGTCATTGTGCACTAAACACAGAACTTGAACCTGCTGCTGGCCAGTCACAGTTTTGATAAGGGACAGTAAAAATATGTATTTCTCGCATGCTCTTAGTATAAAAAACATAGGCAAACCTCAACTCCAGCCGCTGCTAGTAGCCACCGAATTGATTCCATTCGGCCTCGTCCATTGAAGTAGTGGAGCTTGGGTTTCCCAGACATGTTTCCAAGCGCCTGGTTTCCTACTATCTAGAGCAGAGAAGAAAGTTTTGCAGAATAAGGAGTCAGAATGCTGTTTTTGAGTCTTCAACTGGTTCTAAAGCGTCATTGAAAGCCGTCTCATTTGAAACCAATGATTCATGGTCCAGCACTTTCATCAAACTAGCAGGAGATAAAAAGTTAGACTATATTGACAGGCTGCATTGAACTATTTTGCCTTAAGGTGTCTTTTATGCATGTGGATTGTTTAAGCAGAACTGTACTGAGAATGAGTGGCCCATGCCAGAGAGCAAGCAGATCCTGTTGCTGAACACCCCTCCTCTGCCAAAGTGTTTTGCTCTCACCAAAGAGCAGGGTGTGCGATATACACCGCTCTGTTTATGTTGACATTCTCTCAGGACACGCAGTCTGCTGTTTAAGCAGATACACAACACAAACTCAGGAATTCTTTGTTTTCTCCAGGAGCCGTTATGTTCTATTATAAGGTGATGGGGATTTCCACTTAAGCATTCAATCTCATTTACAACAGTCTCCACTCCTCTCATTTCTTCAGGCAAGCACCGGAAGACCTAGAATTCTATATTATCTCTGGCAATATGAGATTGGCTGATAGCTTTTACTACAGGCAGAGCCAAAGTGAAACATTTACTCAGTGTACTGCCAGTTCTTTTTGCTTCTTCCTTGGACTTGTGCTACATCAAACGTTTCTAAGAGATCAGACAGTTGTTGTCAACACCAGTCCAAGGTTTATCAGCAGAAGCAACAATTAAAAAAACAAACACAGACAGAGCTGTTGAAGCAACAGCTGTTTGTGGGCACACTGCCATCCACCCCGTTAGGAAACGGTCCGTGTGCATTCATTCGCAGCAAATGTGTAGACAGCAGCCCGTTTATCCTAGTGTCACAATTATTAACACCATCTCAACAATACGCCTGGAGCATTAACAGCAGCAAAAAACAAATTTCAGCAAATTTACAAAAATATATTCCCCTTGTAAATAACCTGTCATCTTCTCTGAAAGAAGAAGAAGGGGGTGACAGGAAGCAGTCTTCACAATTCTGAGATCAAAATACATATTTTTTTAAGTGGTACCCCTAGCAAGCAGCTAATTAACAAGTGAACGTTTGATGCACATAACCATGTTAGCAACGAAAGCAAGTGCAAGTACTTAATTCGTTAAACCCAGTTCACTGACTTTACTTTCAGGGTACAGTAATTCCCTACGCATACCTGAGATCCCCAAAGCTTACCTTGCACGCAGCCTAAGTCGCTCTAAGCTCTCAGTAGCTTTGCCCTGAAGTTATATAGCTCGGTAGCCCCTCCTACAAAGAGAATGAGTCAGTTCCGCGCAGAGAGGAAACTCCTCTTTCTTAAACAACTGAAACAGTTTTGCTTAGTCACTGCTCACCTACAGAAAAGAAATACCTCACTAAGCTTACTGTGTACAAATGTGAGCCTCAGAGCTGAGTTAATGATCAGTTGGAACATCTGAGCTACATAAAATAGAAAACTTTATGCCTTTTATTTTCACCGTTTAGCAGCCTAGCTGCTAGTTAAAAATAATCAAAACAGCTGAAAAATTCCCAAGATTAAAAAAGCTACCTATGATAGTAACCAATTTTTTACTTAAGTGTTTTATGATGTTGTACTTTTAACAAATTGCCTCTTTACTAATCAACTAATTCAGCCTGAATCATACATAAGCGTCCTTCCCTTCCTTCCTGGTGGGGGATAGTCCCTCTGGACATTTATCCCTGCCTAACATTGATCCAGGTGCCAAATTTCATTCCTGGGCATAGAAGTTTTTTCTGTTTCCATCAAAGAGATTTCCCTGAGTTTGAGCTGGTGAAGATGCATGCTGCTGATATAACTCCAGGGGACAGTGAATGAAGACCAGTATCCAAAGAAAGACTGTCCTCTGCACTCCTGACTGCTTTCTTATAACCATATTGACTTCAAAGAGCCAATTCGGCATTAACTCCCTTGCACCCTCCTGCCTATCTAATCTAGCTGGTTAATAATGTTGTAAACATCACCTGCAGGTTAGGTCAACATGTGCTACATGAAAATCTGCTGATTCACACTGAATCTAATAGTGGGCTGGAATATTCCTCTTGTATTACACAGCGAGGTTGTATGAATTGTAGCCTATCAATCAAACAAAAATGGTGGTGTTACAGTACGGGGCTCTCTCCTCAAGGTCTTTCCTATAGAAGGGAAAGTGCTATGTAAGTGCTTTGCTGCTATGCAGCTGAAAACGATCCTCTTCCCATCAGTCGCCACCAATGGTGCCTGTTAGACCAACACGTTCTATGCTTGACAGGGAAAAAAAAAGCAGAATTATTTATAACTGGGCCCACAGAAGGACAAGGCATTGAAATGGTCCCCAAGGCAATGTCTTGTCTTTTACGAGGTGCCTAGTCCCCAAATGGTGTACACCTCCCTCTGTACCCCATAGAGCCCGTGAGGAAAGCCAAGGCCCCCAGAACAGGACTCTTAACTGACAGCATATCCTATAGTCTCTGCCTTCTGATTCAGGTTATTTATTTCCTTTAGGTCTTCCCTCTGTCCCCTTCTTACATTTTGGGAAGTTCTTCTCTTCAAGCTCTTAAAGCCTGCAGTAGGATTCAGTCACCGAACCAGAGGTGTCCATGCCACCTAGTATGTCCTCGGGCATCCCACCGACTTCCAGCTGCAGCTCCAGAAGAGCACGGCCCTGCGCTGCGTGCCACATCTCACCCTCCAGTCCCGCTCAGGTGCCTCAGTGCCCCGACAGCGTCCCGGGCAGCACCAGGCATCTACAGTAGTGCAATGGAAGCCCCTTCATGGTATCACTGGTGAAGCACAAGCCGCCCACATTTAGTTTGCTGCTGTTGCCCAGACTAAACCTAATTTGTTAATGTTTTATAATGAAACAGAGCTCTGCATAACAATGGTCTGTTTGCTTGAGAAATGGCTCTTTTCCCCCCAAGACTTCTGAGAGTTCTGAAGTTTGCTGATAGCACCAGTGTTTTCAAGCGTAAAAGATCCAATTACACTGTTGGAAACAGTGTTTTCAATCTCATTAGACAAACAGGACCCAGAATCTAGGATAAGATGCGGGAGACGCAAGTTGTCTTTACAGAGACTTGTGCACGGATGCGCGTCTGTACTTTTGCACAAGTCCAGACTTACTCTTTTCGGTAGCCTGGCTGGATTAATCATTAGTAGGTCTGACCAAGATTAAGCCCAGAACGCTAGTAGATACCCCAACTGGTCTAGCAACCAGTTCTGCAAGGATTGAATGTCTACTCTATCACAGGACTGCAAGGTAAGAAAACCTGGGTTCAGTTAGGAACATTAGTCAGGAGAAATCTCACTTCACCGAGCTTGTAAAGTATTTTAGAAAATACTGTAGAAGTGTCATTTCTAATCTGCATGCCTGAAGGCATGTGATCTCTGAAGTACTCCTTGGTTCAGACTGACCATCCAGGAATTAAAACTAGGGGAAATCTCAAAGCTACCCTAATAAATTAGGAGTGATTATTCTCTCTAGCTGCTGCTGAAGGCCACCAGCTTGCTTCCAGGTTTTTTCCCCTTAAAATAACAAGGTTTGGGGTAATTAGCTTAAAAGATAAATTAAAAATCACACATTTTGCTTTTCATCTACGATACTGATTTCCTGTCACAGCAGGGGAAAATGTTTTGTCATCGGCTTCAGTGGATTTTCCTCTGTACACACAGCACAGCAGACTCGCCTCAGAGTTGGTTTGAGACTGTGTTGGAAATTATGAGCAAATATTTTAAATATACTTGTAAGGGAAATAGGTACACAGACAAACTGTTGTGTCTTAATATATTAGCAGGGGGAATAGGGACTGTACTAATTAAACCTGCTGAGATATGCCCAGGCCTGCCTTGCTGCAGAAGTAAAATCTCGCACCAGCGTTTCATATCGTTTAAAATAAGGGCTTGGATTTTTTTTTTTTTCCCCCCTCCCCGAACTGGAGCTGCCTGCGTTCCACATGCTTGAAAAATGCAGCTCAGAAGTTATCTGCCATGGAAAATATCTCCAAATTGAGTTACATCCTCCAAGCCACGCAGGGACGGGATATTTTTCCTAGTAAGTATGCTATGCAATGATTTTGTAAACCCAGGAACATGTGTACAAAAGGTAGCCTGGCAGAGGGAAGAGAGAAACGAGCAAAAAGCAAGTTCTTTTCCTTAGCATTCTCTTGCTGACTTACCACTTGGCTTCAGGTATTTGAGAGGCATTAGCTGCTTTTCAAAACATTTTCAAGAAGAGAAAGTTGGTTACCTAGAAGCAGACCAGTGCTGTGTGTGCTACAGAGCTTGAATTTTAGGGCCATGAGGTATTTTTGCCAACAGTTTCTTATGTGGAGGTTTAAATAACAAATGCCTAAGCAAAACCAAAACACCACTGTGGTGCCAGGTGACAATTAGTAACTTTCTTTAGCTGACAACATCAGACTCCTGCCTTTTTCTTGGGAGGCAGACAGAGGGATTGTGAATAGGGTGTTACCTGATGGCTGTTGCTTTTAGAGTCCTCTGTCCACCTATCAGCATATTAAACTCCTAAGAAGCACATCCTCCGCTCTCACTTTTCCTTCCAGTTCCCTCTCTTTTGTTCCCTTTCTCTCTCCCGCTTAGTCTGTAGCCTTAGTTTGTGTCTTCTCGGCAAAGTCCAAACTCTCCTACTTACCTGAGATTACTCCCTGTTTTCACTTCCTCTGGACTTTTCTCCTCCCTGGATGTGGTTCTCTCCCCATGGGAATGGTCCATATGTAGGTATAGAAATGAGCGTGCCTTTGATGCCAGCTACTTTAGGATTTCCAGAGCATTTAGCACCTGAAGGCCTCCTCTTTTAACGTATGGTTTAGAGAGATTACAAAATTACAATTACAAAACCATTAGAATTACAAAACAAGCTCAGTGTCCTGCAAACACCTTGCTGTAGCTACTAACTGCACTGCGCAACTCAGAAGCTGCTCAGAAGCTGCTACCCAAAGCCTTTCTTGATGTACCCAGCCTCCCCCAGGCATGCAGAAACCCTCCTAGGGTTGTCCTCTGAGAAGTCCTCTCTTTTCCGTACCGGGAAACTCTTGTGGCTCAGTCTGGAGAAGCAGCAGCAGCACTGGTTGCACAGAGATGTGTGGGCAACCTGTGGACGCACAGGTTGAGCCCGGCTAGTTCGCTCTCAGGCCACCTGGTGCAGGTCTGGCCATGCTGATGCTGTGAAACTCTTCTGGCCTCCAGACCAGCTGGCCATAGGAAAACTGCTGGTTGGGAACAGCTCCTGGCCCAGGCTTAATCCTGGACAGCGCTGGGGAACTGCTTAGAAAACTGTCGGTTGGCATGGGCCAAAATCATGCCTGGGACTACTCTAACGATGCAGTAGTGTCTCAACATAGGCCACCCTTAACACAGCCATACAGGCAAGAGAAAAAAATTAAAAAAAAAAAAAAATAGAGAGCGAGGTAACATGGGGTTATTCATGTTCGGTCCTGCTCCCCGCAGCTGGCAATGTTCCACGGTTTCCTTTGGAAAGCCACTGGATTAAAACCTGCCTTTTCTCTTTGAGTTCCCAGCCTCTTAATTTCTTGCTCTGTAGGTATGTATAAAAAAAACTGAGCCCTTGAACTTCTTTATAAAACCCCCTTACCCTTTTCCTCACCGTATAAGTCTCCTCTCTGGACACGGATACGTATCTGGTTTGGATACAGTATATGGGATTGCACCGCTCGGTCTGGATTAATTAGCTCTGAGAAGGAAATTCAGCTTTGAGCTTTCAAAACCTGAGCTATCGTATGCAGGGCAATATCTGGTGTCTTTAAACTGCACTTAACGTCCCCTGACATCAGATTCCTAGGCAGCTGTATGTCACTCCCTCGGTTGAGAGGAAGCCTTTGTGGCTTGCTGCTTTGACCCTGTCAGACTTTCCAGAGGTCTCTGCTGGCTCCCTCTGTCTTTTTCTCTGGCAGAAGCTTCATAGCTCAGGCTCATCCTGTTTAGCTGGCCTCATACCTTATTGTCGTGTCAACCCCTGCCTAAAACTTGCTAAAAATTCCTGGCCTCTAGCACTCCCCAGTCATCTCAGCTGATACTCCCACGGAGTAAGATCTCCCTTATCACATCTGAGCAAGTACTACCTTATCTTCCTTCAAATCCACCTCTGCCATGACTTGGGAAGCGAGCAGCTGACTATTCCTCCCACCCTTCTTTCCTTTAGCTGCTGCTTTCTTGTCTCTAATTGCAATTAAAAACTTATACTATTTTGATAACCAAATCACTGGCAATTCTTGTTT